GTGGCTAAGTCAGCAGAAGGACCAAAATGAGCCTGCCCTGTATGCCGCGTTGTGCCATATTTCTATCATTTTTCGTCAGCGGGATTTTCGCAGACCAGCCGCATATGCCTCTGGGTGAGCTAGGGAGGGGGGACACTCTGGCGCTACAGCGTGACGAAAATGAAGAGGCTCACAGAACAAAACTACGCTCTGGCAACGAAACAATCAATTTCAACCAACCCGTACTAACATTAAAACGTCCATTAGCATCTGTGGTGCGTGCTGGCTGTAAAATCTTCAGATTGCAGCATACTAGATAATCATTTAAATTAAAATCGGCCTGTAGGTACTTGAATTCTCATCTACTTTGTAGCAAAGTTGCACAACCGTGTGGTGATTGCATGCCCTTGTTGACGTGACTGAAGATTTAGGGTGTGTGAGGCATCGCGGCGTAATACGACGCCAAGCAATTTCACATTTTTGCCTGTTTGACAAATAGTCGACAAGACATATGTTTCTGGGCGCAAAATAACCCTAGAAGTCGACGCGCCCTAAAACCCCAATCATCATCATCATCGAGGCATATGTTTCTTGCTGCGCTTCGCGGCTTGCTACAAAACGCACCGACTTACTCACAATGCCTGAATTCCCGAATCGTTCTAATCATGACGGGAAATGGCTAGACAGCTTATGCAAACCTTCGAGTCGTTAAAAGCCACTATCACGGAGGCGTGATCGCCGAGTAGTTAGCGTGTCGGACTCCAGCCTAGAGGACGCTGGTTCGAATCGCGGTTGCGCCACTACTTTATGTCTAACTCAGCTTTATGGCTCTCCGGCTGAGCGCTAACATGGCTGATGCAATAGCTGACGTTTCATGAAAGGGGCGTGACGGCGTGCGTAACGTTCCATTTTGTTTTATAAAACGACCACCATGGTGGCATCTATTGGTGGTATTGGAATCTTTACTTCAACCATTTGATCCAAAAGTTGCTGGAACTAAGCTTTTATGTAGAACTTACAATCCCATCAAGGTCCCAGGCACTGCGGCACTGGTGCCATACCTGCGCTAATGCTCTGCACCCACATGTGGCGTCAGCGGCCCCACGCTATGTCTACTGCGCACTCCGAAACGTGTCATCTTTAGGACCACCATAACAAGAAGAAACAAACTCAGCATTAACACACGCTCGGGTGGGGAGAGGGTCAAATTGACCCCCCCCCCCCCCCGAAGGTTTTTCCAGAATAGTTTCCGAACGGCGCGGCACAGCCGCACCAAATTTTGGATAACTGTACACAATTGAATAGCGGATCGTTTGGCATCTAAAATTTATATGTACCTTGTAAGGTCGCTGACCTATGGCAGGTCAAAGGCAGGCAATGGTTTCAGCGAAGTCAATTTCTAGGGGAATCGTTCAATCCGATCCAACAACGGAGTGTTAGACGAAGTCATACATATCTGAGATGCTTTCTTAGGCAACACAACAGTTGAATGAGCAAATTGAATGGACCTAGCGTCAGGTGTGAAGGTCACACCAAGGTCACAACCAACCTGTTTTATTACTCTAGGGCTTGCTGTATGGGACAGTTTCTGGTGCTCATTTCGAGTTTATTGATAGCAGGAACCGCATTATACATCTTCCATAGACTTCTTAGAGGTCAGAATAGGTCACTGACCTGAAATGACCTAGGTCAACATTTTGTTTTAGGAATATACTGCATAGCGCAATCTTTGCCGCTTGGTCCAATACAAAACTCAAAGCAATCTTGTATGACTTAACCACCTTGACCTTCAAAAGGTCAAACAAGGTCACTGGCATTAAATGAGAATGTGACATTTTGCTTAGAAACGGTTGTGGTTATCTACGTTCTGGGTGCACCTTGGAGACCAACCTGGAATTTGACCTTGTTTGACCTTTTTGACCCGAAGGTCATGACCTAGGAGCCTGAAGCTCTGACCCAAGTGAGTTCACGTACAGGTCAACGCACCCTGTAAATTTGGTGTCTCTAGCTTTCTTAGTTCCCGAGATCTCTGGGGGTCAAATGGACCCCACCCCACAAGGGTATCTAGCCGGCCACCCGGGCGCGTGTTAAGACACCGGTGTGTCTTAATGCTGAGTTTGTCTCTTATTTTCAACCCGGCCCAACTTCCTCTGTTAGAGAACCGCATCTTCATTTTACGGCACAGGTACATGGCCTTCAGCAGAACTCATTCGCTTCTCTTAACTCGTAGCCTCCACATGGTGGAAATCTCATTAGATTGTAACCACAGCACGTGCGCTACCGTATCCTTCATTTGACTTCAGCCTCTCACAACCGTCCACAGTAAGGGGAAGAATAATTATGATCACGTAGAAACTGCTAAAGCTTTCAAAGAGTATCGACGATGAGCCGTCACATTCCGAACTCGTTTAGCGGACAGTGGAAGGCTTCGAGCCAGCGGCCCAGGCCAAATTAAAGTGGATGTAATCGAATCTCGTGGGAAATCACGCGTGTGTGGGCCCGGTTGGAATTAATAGCACCATTCATCAACCCCTTAGGGAGCAGAGCACCGAAGGTATCAGCAATTATAATTATTCTGAATGTCGGTGGAGAGTGAGGGAACATAAATGATACATGCGTACATAATCCCCGTGAATGGCAATGCTAACGGGATTTCTTCCAATTCGCATCGAACTTCGAGATTAAGTTGTTGGCTTATTTAGTTTCGCAAACGGTTACATCTAAGTTCCGTCTCCCATCAAATCGCGACAGGCGGAACCGGGATTGCTTTGAGCACTTCCACAGGTTACAGCAACAGGATCCAACCCAGCTTCAGCGCAGCACCACAGCAGTTGCACAAAGTTCACAAACCGCCCCCCTCCCCCCCCCGCGTCCCGCAGCTAATCGTCCCCCCAGAGCTGTATCTCGGGAGTCCGAGCCGTCCGGAGCGGCGCCACGAGCGGCCAAGCGCCCGCTCCGACCATCCTGGGCCCGAGCGCCCTCCCCCGCCGCACGGAGCAGTGTTCAGGTGCGTCCCGTCTGGCGGCGGGCGGCGGGCGGCGGGTGGCGGGGCGGGGCGGGGCGGGGCGCCGCACCGGCACCGCATCGGCGCCCAATCGATGGCGAGGCGGCGCCCTTCCGCTCGGCCGAGCGTACGCGATAGCGGCGCCGCTTCGCGTCAGGTTCGGTCGCCGAGCCGGCAGCCGCCCGCCCGACCGCCCACCATCGAGCAGTTCGCCGTGCGGGCGAGGGCGGGGGTGGGGGCGGGGGGAGTGGGAGGGGGGAGGTGGAGCCCCGACTGAGACCTAGCCCAGCGGGTCCCCAAACCGTCAGCATGCCGCCCTGCCGGTGGCTGTGTTTCACGGATGCTAGTCATAACAGTGGGCCGGAGGCGGCGGCGGCGGCGGCGGCGGCGGCGGCGGCGGCTCAGTCTTAGTCACTGCCATCCGACGTCCAGACGAGCCCAGACAATAACCACAGTCCAATTAAGTGCGGTTGCAGCCGTCTGCGTGGCCGGGAGCATCGACCCAGACACCGCCGGAGCCGGTCACCACCGCTGGCGGTCGACCGACGCCGGTGGCCGACGGCGATGCTCACGCCCTAGCGGGACCGTGAAATGTGTGCTCTTCCAAATGTTAGTGGAGGTCCAGCACACGGCTGTGCATTCCGACGGGGGGGGGGGGGGGGGGCTGGACACCAGCGGGGAATACGGCTCGGGAGATGCCTGTAATCATGCGTCACTGCTGCAAGGTTATTGCAAAATCGAAACGCCATAACCAAAGTGATATAACCACACTGGACGGTCGGATAAAAAAAACACCTTCGGCGTCGCGGTGTACGTATGCACACAAGGCGTCGCGGTGTAAAGCACTCTTAGAGGTCTAAGAATACTTCACACTGAAGAACATATTCGTAACGAGGGTCTGGGGAAAATTTCGAGTTTGGGATACAAATTTCGTCCCGCACCATGATGCAAGTCACGACTAAATCAAATTGTTAAGAACACTAAATTAAACACCGCAAATACTGGCCGCGTGTGACCGACTGACCGGTGCCCCCGCCTCTATCCGGCCGCCAGACACAGAAACGCACGTTGAACGGCTGTGGGTTGCTGAAGGTTGTTTTCCCTACATGAATAGAACGTTTGGATTTTTTTTAAAAATCAGCACCAACAAATTACGCATACCTGACATGGCCGCTTGTGTGAATGGTCCCCGCGCGTACCGCTATGGACTAAAACGCTGCCATAGAGAAAGTACCTATCAGGTTATCAGGTCTCACTGGGTCTGTGCTAAAGTCAAAACTTGACAGACTTATTGAAGGCAATATACGGGGCCGAGCAAAAATGACTTGAACGATAAAATTTTCAACTCGGACGCGCCGGGTCAGCCTGACCGGAACTAATGCCGTATATCATCTCATGCCATGAAATATCATACAAGTTGCAGTTTAGCTTTAAACATAGACCATCATTCCCTCGCAAAAAAAATGTAAAAACACCCGGTTTTGACTGAAGCCCAGGCCGGTAGTCCTCCCTGCAGCAGCCATGCAGACCGCAGGCGCCCGAGCGGCCGTATAACCGAAGCTCGAGCCGGGCTATGCCCTGATGGCGTCGCAGGCGCCGGCCGACCGCCCGCCCTGAGTGAGTGCCGACGAGCCGCGCGTGCCGCCACGCCGAGCCGGCATCAGGATTCTCCTGAAGATCCTCCTGAAGGGCGCCGAAGCACCGGCGCGTCCAATCTCCGGCGCTGGCCGCTTGTTTGCACGCCAATATCTCGGCGCCGGAGGCGTGCTCGGTCCACCCGTGCCACCCGCGCCTCCTCAAGCGCGCCCCGACACGGCCAGCATGTGCCACACGAACGCAACACTGCTCCCGGGGGCCCGCCGGACCAGCCGCCGGCGCTCATCACACGCGACATAGCGATCGGCGTTTGGCCCGGGACGAGGGGCGGGGCTCCTCGTCTCGCCGGCGCCAGACTCGTGGGTGGGGCACGCCGTGCGCGGACGGCTGCCGGGACCTCCGTCCCCACCTCACCGCTTACCGTTTCATGGTGGAGCTAACTTCCCACTTGGAATCGGGGTCCATGCCCGACGGGTCCTTCTGTACGGCCACCAGGAACACGTTCTTCTCCACGTACGTAGTGTACAGCGTCAGAATGCCCATCAGCACGAAGTACGAGACCACGCAGAAGATCAGGATCGGCCTGCAACGAGAACCACGTGAGATGGCAGCGCCACGCGGGTGGCGCGGTCTCTCACATCTCATCCACAAGCGGTATCCTCCACATCATTCCCCCGGCCGCTGCCGACCAGCCGCGCAGGGTACAGGTGAGCGCTGCGTCCGCGGTAACCATCCCGGTCCCCACGTCAGATCCGCGGGTACACAGGACGGCCGAGTCCGCCCTCAGCGGCGCAACAGACAGCGGGCCAGTCAGCACGTGGTCTCAAGGGGCGCTATCAGATCAGCTCGAACACAGCATCCGATCCCACAGCACGAAAACAACTATCGTGGGCACCGCTTCGATTTAGTGATCTTCGATCATTTCGATCTAGCAAACTGGGCGCTGGTGCGACGATAGCTCAGCGGGGGTGGGGCGATAGCTCAGCGGTGGTAGGACCATAGCTCAGCGATGGTGGGACAATAGCCCAGCGGTGGTGGGACCATAGCCCAGCGGTGGTGGGAACATAGCTCAGCGATGGTGGCACGATGGGGCGATAGCTAAGCGGTGGTAGGACGATAGTTCACCTCGAGACAGATGGCCGCGGGGGGGGGGACCAGGCGCCGAGGCACCCACCAGCACCACGGCACCACTCGACAAGACCATGGCACCCGAGGACAGAGGGTCCGCCTCGCTCGTGCCCAAAATTGTTCTTCTGCCAACCATTTCACCGGCCCGCTCCAGGAAACTTTTACAACTCGTTACAAAGTTCGGATTTTTCCAGCACCCCTAATCTACTAGCACTCAAGGGAGCAGAGTGTTTGTCGGGCAAAGCCCCGTCTAATAACGCTAGGCAATATGAGGACACGACACCACAAGCACGACACCTGAAGACTCGGTGTTCTACACAACAACGATGAGTGAACAAGACACACTTACTGTGAGACACCTGACACCTGACACCTAAGACACCAGACAGTCATGTGCCACGAATCTGACGTAGAGTCTGTCGGTCTGTTTTGACACTGTCTCGTAGAAACTCATACACAGGTGTTGCAAGTGATAATACACACACACAAGATGCAAGCGTTGAAAAGACCTTGGTCGTGAAAAACGACGTTATTGGTCCACACGGACATATACCCGCAGCTACGCACGGACATATGTCCTGGACACGCCAAACGTGCACTTCCCATTCCCCAAAAATCCCAAAGCCGGGTAAGGGCACTGCCTAATTCTTCCCAGTCTGAATGGTCATAAATACATAACCCGCCAGAATTTCGTTTAAGAATTCGGATGATGTTAGCGCACCAGCTAACTCTTTCGGAACGGGACTTGTAACTGGCGCAAAATGCTACAACGGAGACCATCCAGTCTGCAATCAGCCACCCAGGTCATCTTACTCGGGTCGATTTCTATCTCATGCATCGGCAAAAATTCTGCACGTCCGAGAAGAATGATGGCATCCACGTCCAGGACACCACATTCTCCGCAAAAGCTTCATAAATGGGGCCCATCAACGCCACGATTGGGAAGGCGCGATAGCGCGGCAATTTATAACGATTTACATGATCAATGCCTAAAAGCCGCTCAGTGAATACCTAAAGCACGCCAAGCAGTGACGCACCTCGGAAAATGATACAGTGAAGTCCACGGAGGGATTGGCGCTATCAGGCAACGTCATAAACCTCGCGTGGTCCATAATCTACGAGCTCAGAGATCCATTCGGGCCGATGGCTGGCGCACGCAAGCAATGCATAGTCGACCAGCGACGGATGGGGGCGGAGCCGCGCCCGTCAGTGCCCGCACGCACCGCGCGGCCCGTCCCCTGACCCGTCAGGGCGGAAGCAGCGGCGTAACGGACACATGCCGACGCCGCACTGCCGGCCGGGCCGACCCACCGCCGGGCCGGGCCCTCCCGACCCCCTGGAGAGCTGTGTGCCACAGACCCTCGACTGGACCGTCCATCGGATCGGCCGACGCTTGACGTGTCAGAGCGCCTGTCGGATCGCCCGCCAACTCATCCGCTGGCTCCCTGCCGGATCGTGCCTCCGACGGTCGACTGGCTGCTCTGCGCTCGGGCCCGCCGGGCCGGGACCGCTACCTCCCGGCCATCCGGCGCCGATCGGCGCCGAGCGTTGCCGATCGGCGCCCGTGTCCCCAGACGGCGGCGGCGCGGCAGGTGACGGGCGCCGCAGCGCGCGCGCCGCCCACGGCACGCGCCGACGGACGGCGACCGGCGCCGGACCCCGTGACCGGCCGCCCGGCCAAACGCCCGCCGCTGACGGCGACGCACGCCACACTGACGCGTGACGTCCGCCGAGGCACGCCGTCACGCCGTCACGCCAGCGACAGCGGCGTCACGCCACGACCGGTGCCCCGCACGTGGCCGTGACTGCCGGCCGCCGCGGGGTATGATAAGGTCCGCGTAGGTCAGTGGATGTTTCACTACACGCGGCCACGCTATGTTAAATGCATTGGTCCGACCGTCCAACATCCGCTGGTACATGTCGTCTTACAGTAGGGCATTACAATAATCTGTCTGACATTAACACGTTATGAACGATGCAACAATCGACGTTTGAAAGCGCCCACTGATATTGCAAGGGACCCGACCCAGGAGTTCAGGCGGCTCTCTGTGAAGCGCCCTGCCAGTTATCGGCGTTGTCAGTTATCATATCATGAACCTCCTACGTCCTTTTGGTGAGCCGGGAACGCCAGCCCTTGAGTGCTTACTGGCGTTGACGTGAGTGGCTTTCCGGGCGGCGCAGGGACTCACACGTTCCCAGGTTGTACACTAAGCTGGTAATTGACCCTATGTTGTGGAGCTCCCGCCCGGCATAATGTCCCGTCCTGGCATAACCCGGCTCTCTGACACGAGGACTGGAGCGCAGGGGCTGTCGCTCTCGCTCTCGCTCTTTCCGGGGCATCCGCGGCGTCCGAGCCGTCTGCCCGGGGCCGCAGCAGGCCCGCCGCCCCCGGATGTGGACTATATCCGGCCGGACGGGACACGCCCGTCACGAAATGCCGCCGGCGTCGGGTCGGGTCAGGTCAGCCGGCGGCGGCGGCGCGTACTGGCCGCCAGACGGGGCCGCGCCGGCCCGGTCACGCCCCGGCTGCCGGCCGGCAGATGCCGACCATCATCAGCGCCTGTGGAGGGGAGAGCGGCGACGCCGCGAACGGGCAGGGACATGGAATGACGATGGAATGAACAGACACAAACGGAATGGGTGCTGGGGCGAGACAGCAGGCGAACAGGCCGGACAAGAGGGCTCAGTATACGATGCAAGAGGGCTGCGGCGTGCGATGCAAGCTCAGTGCTCAGACGGTCAAGGGCAAGTTGGAGGGTCGCTACCCTGGCTGCGAGCTTTGTGCTGGCAAAATGATGGCTGTGATAATGCATAATGCATAATGAAAATAAAGGATGAAATCTACACAATGAATAGCATGTTTGGTGCAGGTTCTTGATCAAAGATGATCAGTGATGACATACAGCTTATGCAACATCGCGAACCAATCATGTTCCGGTCACGACGGTGTCCATGCGAGACTAGACGTTACCCGGTGTTGGCCAGTAAAAGCATGGGCCAAATGCAGCGACAGCGCGCGACGGTGGGGGATAAATTGTCCAAAGTGTTGCCTTTAGCTTTCTCACAATTTGCTGTTCATTGGTGTTTTCGGGCGCGTCGACTTCAATTATCATTTTGCGCCCCAACTTCCTCTCAATAAACAAGGGACAGACTGACATAGTGAAGTGTGGCGACGTACACAGCACTTCAAACAGCATGCAACAGGTTGTTCAGAGGCTTCGTGGGCTTCCGGGCTGATTAATGCGGAGCATTGCGTGTCCGTGTTAAAACTAAATGAAATAACAAGGCTCTGCAGAGCATACCTTCAAGCTTTTCCATGTTTGGACTGGACGATCATTTATCTTCAAAGTATTTAAATAAAAAACATGGGTATCATAAGTCTCGCTAAAACTGCCGCAGGACTTCCGTTTTCTCCGCGTGTGCGGGACAAAACGGGCGTGTGAGGCTACCACCGCAGCCGCACACGCCCGTACAGCCGCGTGTGCGGGACAAAACGGGCGTGTGAGGCCACCACCGCCGCCGTACACGCCCGTACAGCCGCGTTACTGCCTTTCCACGCCAATCGACTGCCATCGCACACCAATTCCTAATGCCGGCAGAAAATTAAACCATGTGAGGTTCGATCTTGAAAATTAAACCATGTGCGGTTCGATCTTGAAAATTAAACCATGTGCGGTTCAATCTGTTCTGAGCATTTGACAAACGCGCTCCCCGTCGGCGTCAGCGTCCGTCGTCGGCGGTCGTAAAGGGTTATGTACGGGCGGTGTGGGGACCGTGTTTCAGACAAACTCGACTAGGGCATCGATGAGGATGAAGTGATGGACATCTTGAAACAACGCACCGACCACTAGTGCTGTGGTCACTACGCCAGCCGCGGGTGCCGTGGTCATGGGCCACGACAGTCACTAGTGCCGTGGTCACGGGCCACTACGACGGTCACTGGTGCCGTGGTCACGGGCCACTACGACAGTCACTAGTGCCGCGGTCACGGGCCACTACGACAGTCACTGGTGCCGTGGTCACGGGCCACTACGACAGTCACTGGTGCCGTGGTCACGGGCCACTACGACAGTCACTGGTGCCGCGGTCACGGGCCACTATGACAGTCACTGGTGCCGTGGTCACGGGCCACTACGACGGCCACGGGTGCCGTGATCACGGGCCACTACGACAGTCACTAGTGCCGCGGTCACGGGCCACTACGACGGTCACTGGTGCCGTGGTCACGCACCACTACGACAGTCACTAGTGCCGCGGTCACGGGCCACTACGACGGTCACTGGTGCCGTGGTCACGGGCCACTACGACAGTCACTAGTGCCGCGGTCACGGGCCACTATGACAGTCACTGGTGCCGTGGTCACGGGCCACTACGACGGCCACAGGTGCCGTGATCACGGGCCACAACGACGGCCACGGGTGCCGTGATCACGGGCCACAACGGCGGCGACGGGTGCCGTGGCTATTGACTTCACCTGAGGCGAGAAAGACCGAACTGCCGGTGGCATGTTTTGAGCACGAGACGAAGGTCACGGAGCCGGCGTTCCACACCGGGATTGGGCATCCCAGGCAGGGCAGACCCAGGGTAAACACAGGGCCTGGCGTCCAGCGGGCAGTGGACAGTGAAAAGCGAGCAGTAGGCAGTGGGCAGTGGGCAGTGGGCAGTGGCCAGTGGGCAGTGGACAGTGGACAATGAGCGTCATCAACATATCCTCCCGCCGCGGTCAACACTCGACCCCCGGAGCTCGCCCGAACCACAAGGACATTCCGATAACTACGCTGGTCCTCGATACATAACGATAACCTCGTAGATCCCTCGCAAAAGTCCTGACGACCATCACGACGCCCACGGCAATCACTGAGCCGCAAGCCCGCGCTCTACGTCCGTCGCAGACGCCCCTTCAGCGCTCCCGGCCAGCCACGCACATAACCGGCCGGCGCGCAGCCTGACCACCCAATTTGGCAAGAGGCCCACGCCCCGCGACACCGCCAGACGCCGTCACTTCTACCGCGTCACGTAACGCACCAGCGGGCCGCAACATCGTTCCGTCAGCCACCAGTTGTGCATAATTACCCAGCGCTGCCGGCGGCGGCAGCGGCGGCCCGGCCGGCGCCCACACGCCGCATATCGACCTTCGGCGGGGCACGCGTCCCTCGAGCACCAGCGTCGGGCGCAGCGCCCGGCGGCCGACGACCGCCGCCTCCCATACGCAGCCGGAGGCCCGCGGCGCGCCGTGATTAAAACCGCGTCGACAATGCGGCCGAGCCGGTCCGGGCGGGGCCGGGCTGGTCCGGGGCCCGGGCTGGGCCTGGGCCTGGGCCTGGGCCGGGGCCGGGGCCGGGGCCGGGGCCGGGGCCGGGGCCGGGGACGCGAGCGCCGACACGCGGCCACCAGGACGAGGTCACGGACCTCCGAGGACGACAGCGGAGACGTGGCGCGCCCGGAGAGCCTCGCCGGTGTCGGCTCGAGTTTGGCGTCAACAAGTGAGCAGCAGCGGCACGCTGTGTTGCCCTCCGGCAGGCTGCTAATGCAACAACATCTTGCTCGTCTGGCCAGTCTGGTCCGTTAGACAGGGCGTAGTAATCAATACTAACAGGTGCAGCTGTTCGCGATGACCCTCAGGCACGCGCGCACGCCCAGACAAAGTGTTGCATTCAGTTCAGTGAGCTGGAACAGGTAAGTGCTTGCGATTCAGATGTCACACCAGCCATAACACTGACCTTCGTCACACATAATAACGATGCGGCCAGTCGAGCCGACTGACCGCCCACACTCCTTCGCTACTTCCGGAGTGGCTAAAGCAGCTGTAAATTTGGTCACGACGCTTTGATGGCTGTGTTTTCCTCCCACGAACGCTGAATTTTGGAATGCTGTGAGGTGACCTGGACGAGGACGACCGATTTCCATACCACGTGAATCCATCCGCTGCGACACTAACTCATCACGTATTTCTACTGATCCGCCCCAGCGCATATCCACTCCTTCTCAGATCGGTCTTTCCTGCGAAACTTCCGGATCCCCTCCTTTGCCTCACGGAGAGCAGAGCACGGTTTTGTTTTCATCAGAGGCATTCTTCGACCACAACGAGCTCCATTATTGTGGCAGCCCCGCCGTGCTTCATCGACCGGCGCGGACGGATTGTTCTCCGTGCATAGAGCACGCGTCCGTACGACTCAGGTCTGGCCTGTTCTCCAGACTGTCCGGGCTGGTGGAAACCACCAAATCTGGCAACACGCAGGGAACGGATTTTTTTCTACGTCATATAAACGCCTGCGTAATTCATAGGGTGCGTTAAGGTGCACAAATCAGACATGTGTTCGATTCAACACAAATCCATAAATGATTCATGAATCACATATTTTATGAGTCACAAGTGGATCGACTCTTTCGAGTAAAAATGCGATATGCATCATTACTCGAATAAATGGCTCCTCTAAAGGTGGTTCGTGTGAATCCAACAATCTACGTGAGGGCCAAGTGAAACGACTCAGCATTTACTTCGTTTTTAATGAAAAACAAAATCATTAAGTACATTGGCTGTGAAATAATGAGTTGACAATTACACAAAGAACAATCAGCATGCACACATTAAATGTGGGGTGAATCAATGCTGAGTCTACTCACACACTGAAATGATTATTTGAATCAGAGTTGAATCATTGAACTGCGATGTGACTGGGATGTGAATCAACAAATAATCGATTCACAATAAACAAAACCATGATTTCAGTTAAATTTGAATCATTAAACAGGGTTCATGAATAAATGCCGAATCGATTCCTAGAAATTTGAATTGAACACTGCCTGTGACAAATGCATGCACAGTACATCTGTAATCCTGTTCTATGCCAAAGAGAGTGCTCCACATTTATATGGGGTTTTGAGCTGAAATAGCCATCTTGAAGACCTTTCGGAGTTGTTCACAACCCTGTCCCTCTTAAGACGTAACCCCCCCCCCCCCCCTAGTGTCTGAGAGTTGAGGAAACGAAACGCCCGCGAAACGAAACGAAACGCCCGCGAAAATGGGGGGAATTTTTCGGAGAGTATCTCAAAGTCATTTCGGCATCCATTACGTCATAATAACGCCATTCAAATCATGCCGTTCCATAACCCATGCGGCGATCAAGGCCAAGCCCAACAAAATTGTCGAGGCGTTCATATTTGTCGCTCGTAAGAACGATTTCCAGATACAACGGCTCTCAATTGGCTCTCAATCAATGTTGTGCAATGTACGGTGAAGTACTCAAACAACGACGTATCAAGGGGCGTATTTACTTATCAGAGAAATTGTGTTGCCTAGGACAGTCTTTTCCCGCTCAAAGTAAACCAATGGTCTTAAGTGAGCTTGCTTCAATATTTTCAAATGTGACACATCACCTTTAAGTTCACCAAGCGCATGAAAACCCAAACAATGATAACGTTGTTACCCACCAGCGGATAGGCGCATGGTTCACCCATCCCACCCGGCCATGTCTACACACGTGTCCGTTACTGTTAAAGCGAGCAGTACTCAATCTGGGCCGTATGATGATTCATTCTGGCGTTGTGCGTGTACCTGGCGACACTTCGTGAGACTGCAGTGCTCCAGGAAAGCGCATCGTATCCTTGAGCTTTCGGGCATAGTGTATCGCGCTCGCCGCGAAGTTCCTGTGGCGCCACGTATAGTTACTGCTGGGACCGCCAGCGCCATCTGTGTGCGGTCGCCCCACTTTCCTTAAGGAGCGCGACACGGCTGAGGGCAGGTCGGCAGACTGAGGCCAGAAGACTCCTCACCATTTTACGCCATCCTGACCAAAGCACTCCAAGACCTACTCACGAACGGAAGCCATTCTAGTTAGCCCCGCCCCCTCCCCCCCCCCCAGCCCTCTCCACCTCGGAGGGGTGGTTTTTGGCACGTAGAATGCGCCAGCACGTCAGCTTTGCCTTCCGCCGTCGCGTGGATATTTCGGATGAGCAGATGAAGTGGTGCCAGGGACGGGACGGTAATCCCTCCCTGGAGAGCGCAGATCCAGCACGGAAAATGCGTGCCAACCCGGACCACTGGCGATCCTCTCCGAGGCAACATCCCACGCGCAGACCATACCGGCGCCCCATCCGCCGCCTCAGCTGGACGGGGCAGCTGCCTCGCGCTCCTCTCCTCGCGCTCGGGCGAGCCTCGCCCGAGAGAGCAGCGCGCTCGCTCCTGGCCTCGTCGGCGGCAGCGGGGGCCTCGTCGGATCCACAGCAGTGCAGACGGTCTGACCACGAGCGCGATAAGGCGCCGGTGCCGCTCTCACCTAGACAGCGGGAACGGGTGCAGGTAGTCCCAGACGATGGCCAGGCCCGCCAGGCCCACGGCCACCGTGCAGATGAAGAGCCGGCAGTCCATCAGCCAGTGGCTCTCGCCGTACTTGTACTTGCTGAGCAGCACCTGACGCCAGCAGGACACGTCAGCTGGGAGGGGAGGGGGGGGGGGGGCAGCCCCTTCCGGGCGTGGAAGAGAAGCGGTATATGTCCGTGTGGACCAATAACGTCGTTTTTCACGACCAAGGTCTTTTCACCGATTGCATCTTGTGTGTGTGTATTATCACTTGCAACACCTGTGTATGAGTTTCTACGAGACAGTGTCAAAACAGACCGACAGACTCTACGTCAGACGGGGGCGGGACTCGGCACCTCCGCGCGGGGGAGGCGTCGCTGCGCTTCCTGCGTGGGTAATGGCCACGGCAGTGGCGTGCCACTGTGCGCTGAACGAGGCTCAAGGGCGACATGCTCATTCTCACAGGGACTACAAGCATTGGGTTCTTTTGAACTATTCCTTTCTGTAACAGCCACACAAGAGTGTAATGTAGTCAACTAAGTTTCAAACCTTCACAAACAAGCTCAAGGTTTTATTCACCCTAGAACAAATGGCTGATTTCCATTAATCTACTAAATTTCACACTCACCTCCTTAACTGCATCATCCAACGAGTTCTTGACAGCAGATCCATCCCACTTGTCAACCTTGATCTCGTCCTCCGATGACTGCGGAAAAAGGGTCAACAAAGTCAGTGGAGTAATTAATACCAATTTCGCGTGGTGCACGCATGACTTGTGTCTCAGAACTGTACCCAACAACGCAGTGACTTACTGGTGTAAAACAAACTATGTGGAAAAGAATGGTGAAGTGGGTATGCTTAGATGGACTGAGGATTTACAGCCGCGCAGGCGCTTGCGCGCTCGCTTCGTTGCGCTAATGCAAAATTTGATTTTTTTTACTATGTATCTTTTGCAGTTGGAATCACGGTTCTAGGTGCCCTGGTTGCCAAAATATTGGGCAAAGTGTAAAAAGATTCGGTCGCAGGCGGCACGCGGTACTGGCGGTCTCTGGCGGCCGTTGCACGAGAGGGCGCATTTCCCCGCGCTCTCTGCAACACAGCCGAACCTATTCCATGGGTTGAGCGAATGGTCGTGGGGTGTGACCATTGATTTTTGCCCCTCCCATCAACTGTCAGCATTTGGAACGATGGCAGCACGTACTGCCGTTGTATCAAACAGCATTGCACTGCATCAAAGAGTGAAAAGCGGCTGGTAAGTCAAATTTATATTTCTGGTTCGTGCACGCGTTACACGCATGTGCGGCGTGACAATTCACACAAAGTCTTTGTCTGTTCGGTTTGTTGTGAATGCATGCCACTCCCCAGTCGCTCTGCGCTCTGGGTGCCGATATGTGGCACAAAGCGTGTAAACCCGTGGAAAAGAGCAAAAGCCATCTTCCTGGCTCGTGTGTGCCCGACACGTGCAACGTATCAGCCCGCACTTGTGACAAATGTGACCAAGGGATTTCCCGTTCAATGGCCTCTCGGAACACGCCAGTCTCGTGTTACTACGTGCCATAACAGCGGAAATCCCGCGTAAAGCGTAGAAATGGACGAAATCGCCAAAATACAGTTTCACAGCTAATGTGCACGTGTCACATGACGCGTGCAGCATGACATCGTGCACGTTTCAGTGATGTCCCGTTAAATCACCTATCGAAGCATGCCAGTCCCTGTGTACTTTATTCCCTGGCTTCTGAGATATCACGAGAATGTGCAAGCCCCTCAAAAACCAAAATGGTGCCAATCCATTGTTAAATACATGGGCGCCATAACATGTGACACGCGTCACCTAACACTGACATCTCGCTTCTTTCATTCATCATTGAGCGCGCCAGTCCCGGGTGTGTTGGTGCCATAGGTGCCGAAATGTGGCACAAAAGCTGCAAATCCGTGGAAGAGAGCAAAATCCATCTGTGATCCCGTACCATGTCATACGTGTGACTGTACCATTTTGATCTTAAAACTTAGCATCTAGCAAGTTAACGTGCAATTTGAGCGCAACGATGCGTTGCAGAAACTCGCGATGTGCCTGTTAGTGCACCCGCGTCAACTGTAAATGTTGGGGCACAAAACCCACGCCTTTGCGCTCACGGCGACCGCAACTCACAGCGCGCCGCCCACCGCCACGCCTCATCTGAGACCGCTCCACCACACCACCCGCCCGCCGGCCCACTGCCGGACTGAAGACCAGCCTGAATGCTAGTTTTTCATTATGAAGCGTGGCTAAATGAGCAAAGTCGAAAGCCCGCCACGCGGAGGAACATTTGAACCCTTAACGCCTAGGGCGTACGCCGGGAGTCGAGGCTGTAACTTACCGCCGTCGCGGCGAAAATGACGCCATGCATTCACTGGGCTCATTTGCGAGTGACAGTTTTTAACATGCGTTCAACAAAAGAGTGCATCAGAGACAGGACGAATAGGCCGACAAGCTGATGTAGTTTCCAACCCTAGATCACGCAAAGTTTTGACGGTAGCAGCTTGTATTCAGCTTCGGTTTTTAAAACTCGGCCCGTTACAATTTGTAATGCAATTTGCGGCGCAACGGTGCGTTGCACAAACTAACGATGCCCACTGAAAAGGTGGCCGCTTCAATTGTGAATGTTGGGAAAAAATTCAGACATCTTCCGCGCCGGGACATAACGGCAATCGTAAAAACGCGTCAAAAGCGGCCGATTTCAACTTTTCAACACTCGTGCACGGCCACGTGTGACGTGGCGCAAAAAAAAAAACCAGCTTGCGGTGGCTCATTCCTTGCTCTATCGCACCGTGCAAGTTGCGTGTCGCTGCGACCGTTCGTTACTGAAATACGACTCCGGGAAGTGAGGCGTGTCGGGCCGTCGGCCGGAATCGCGTCGCCCGTGTTAACCCTATGGGATTTTTGCGTGTTTTCTCCGCTTGGCACGCGCTCATTTTTGCGGAATGTCGAAATTTGACGCAACTATATCAAGCGCACCCGGCGGATCGCGGTCGTGTGCAAATTTCATGCAAAAACGCCTGACCGTTAGGCCTGCAGGTCTACTGACGGACACACACACACACACATTGTTCCTTTAGTAATACAGAGATACGTGACCATAATTTGGCCATGGATTAGGAATAGCCGTGATTTTCAGTTTTCTCAGCTATCATTGTCGTTGGGACTTCATGACACAGCAGGTGATCATATATGATGTTGCCAGCCACCCACCCTGCGAGTCTCAATACGGCACCTCCGCTGCGGAGATTACCCAATAACAAATGATCTCACTAAGCTTATCAGACCAGCTTATCTCCATAGTTCCATGTTTTCTCAGGATTAATATAACGGTGTCTTACATCAGTTTTTAAGCGCAGCAGCAAAGAACATTGCATGGACATAAGACAGCACTGTAAGCCTTATTTATATATTTATACATATATATATATATATATATATATATATATATATATATATATATATATATATATGTATGTATGTATGTATGTATATATATTATTTAGGTGCCTATTTCACATTCAACCCAGCAGATAGGTGCATCAAATTTTTGGCAAAAGTATTTTGCCAAAATGATAACAAGCAATAAATTCTAAAGCTCACTCAATGTTTCACATTCACCTGTTTTTAACAGCAGCCCCACTTTTTACACATCACCAGCATGAAGAAGATTCAACCAGGAGCCATTGCCAGTCATTTTTATGATGGAGTGTACACACACACATGCATGTGCACACACACATGCACACATGTATATATATATATATATATATATATATATATATATAAATATATATATATATATATATATATATATATATATATATATATATATATATATGTATATATATATATATATATATGTATTAAAATATTTATACATATCTGATGTATATACATACATACATGTATGCATATAAATAGGAATTACACATGTGTGGATGCAAACAAGTTCCAGCAAAAAGACCGAGCATCACACATCTTGCATCAATCATCAGTCATACATGCATATGATTTCAAGTAAATAGGTATCATGCCTTACACATCAGGCATCAGTCATACATGTAAATGATTTCAGGCTAGCACACAATAGGCATTAAAGCACATCAACTCACATGATCAGCCATGATGAGGCCTGCATGCTCAGGTCTGGTTGTCAACTTCTTATAAGAAAGGATTCAGTAATGTTATTGTCTGGATGGTGCTGTGCTGTGTATATGACAAGTTTTTTTTATTTTCCAAAGCAAGTACACTGCATGATTCTGTTTCCTACCACCCACCTCCCCATGTCCTCTAACTTATTCACCTCTTCCAACACCCTCCCTTAAAAGTTGTGATGGGTTATCCATTACCCAACATCAAAACCCGTATTTTGGTTATGCTCGTTCTTTCTTTTTCACTACAAGACAGTGTCTTTTAAATAAAATACTCAACCAGCTATGGAGGTCTGCTCCCACTCAGCTGAAAGCTTTCAATCATTCATGGGCAGTAGGGTCATCAAGCTATCATTTTTTCAGTGTACATGTTGTTGATTTGTATATATATATATATATATATATATATATACATATACACATATATTTATAACATATTCATTTACATATAGCAATAGGCTAGCCAGTGCAGCTGTCACTGCTATAAAAGCTAGGATATATGACCATTTCCAAGAAATTTATGCTTTCTGTGTATCAAAAAGGAAACCCCATGGTCTTTTATAACAGGGCTTCCAGGACAACATTTTCTTGCTCAGAGATGACTAATGTTGATGGGAACTGGGCACAGTGGTAGAGAACCCATGTGCACCTATTCTGACATCTTTAGAGCTATTTGAAATGAAGGCCCTTGACTATGCTGGAGCATGGACACAGGGACAGTGTGTCACTGAGTAATTTCTAGAGCTCATGAACAATCAGCATCCAATTTTAACCTTTACTTTGGAGCATGCAGGGGATGGAAAGGGTACCATATTTTGACACACAAATAACAGAAAAAAGGAGGAATGGCCATACCACATTTAGAAATGGAGCTCTTTATGAAACCTACCAACCCCAGCATAATTCTGCATTGTGAATCTGTGCATCCAGACTTACACTAGTCACAATATAACTTGAAATATGGCATAGGGTTCCAAACAACTCACTGAGTTGTGAAAAAGGAACAAAGATGCAAAATATGGGCTTTGCTGTTGGGTAATGGATACTCTCCATAGCCTTTGGTGAGAATGTTCAAAGGGGTGTAGATCTGGAGCATGTGAAGATATGTGATTGGAAATGGAAATGCCCCTGAAGGACAACAGCTTATTACCAATACTTTACATAGATGAATACTTTCATTGAAAAATCAAACATTTCTTTTTCAATGCTATGCTTACATATATGTTGGAAGAATCAAAAAAGCTTAACAAGTTTCTGGTGAAATCTTACATCTTGAAGCTCAAGCACTGGGAGGCAATAGGTATATTTTATGGAGGTCAGGGTTTCAAAGGGCTTGCATTCAGAAAAATATGGTTAATGAGAGCAGGTGTGAACTGTGCTGAAAACATCAAAGGAATATAGTCTACATCACCTGTGAGATGTCAACAAAACACAGAGAAATCTTACATCTTAATGCCTGATGCATGCTAGTTTGAAATTGCTCACATTATGTGTGATGTCTGATGTGTAATGTGTGAAGCCTATTTATTTGAAATCATATGCATGAATGAGTGATGCCTGATGTGTGTTGTGTGATGCTAGTTTACTTGAATGTGTTTGGACCTATTGATTTGTAATCCTTAATTATGTAAGCACTGTACCATATCAATGCCTATCAACTTCTCATTTAATCACCTGAATGTTGGTGACCTATATAACTGTAGCTCACAGTTGAAACAAAATGGAAGGAGTCAAGTAATGCAGGCAATCTCGCTTCTCTTAGTTTTTCAGTGAGGAGTGAGGCTAATGGTAGTGTCTCATAAGTATTTTCTTGTAAAATTGTCTGCATATGAAGCTTTGCCTTGCCACTGCAGCATCCATTTTGCTAGAATTAAGTGTGTTTGGGGTTTAATTCCTTCCATCTATGACATCTGTATGTAAAGACTAAAATGCAAGACATGGATCACTCATGTTGTCTTCTCCCCATCATAGTTCACAAGTTTTCATATGAGAGCACAGTGCTCAGTGAACTCATTGACCAATTAATTATTAGTACAATCTGATAAATGTTGACAGCTCTGTAAAGGCCATTGCTGTGTGGGATTGTGGTTTTGAAGTATAACACCCAACAGCTTTCATTTTCTTATTATGTTTGTTAATGTGCAACCCAAAGACATTGTTTTGTATAAGTAGCTGCATTCTGGTAGGTGACTTTCACCTTTAACCATCATCCCATCCATCCACACTTTGCCAATTCAGTATATCACAAAGCATTAATGCAATATAATATCATACCTTGTAATAACCACTTTACAGAAACTGTAATACATGCAGACTTAAGCAGGCGTCATGCAGAGATGATAAGCTTGAATAACCCTGGTGTGAATAACGCCCCAGACCGCCAGGCCCCTTATGAATTAGCATAATCACGGAAGCAGCCTACCAAGCGTGATTCAAACGGAACTCACCATCGCAGCAAAAGCTTAAAAAACCTTTGGCACGGTATCAGAATCCGCAGTCAGCGAACTTGGCCAGCAGATAACCCAGCGTTTACAACCGTCTGTCTCCTTTTTCTAAATATGAAACAGATGCTTGCAGAAGAAACGCCGGCAGCTTATGGCGCCTGGTGGACACACGCAGCAGCAAGGCAAGCCTACCAGGGCAGCAATAGGGTAACGAGAATTTTCGTTTACAGAAAATGGCACAACAGCGCCATGTTTGGCGCTAAACCACGTACCCTCATATGGTAGCTGTTATGGTAGCGATTTAGAAAATTTGAAAAACACCCTACCATGCATATGTAAGGGGTCTTGACCTGCCAAAACAGAGGGCGGTTACGCACCGGGCCTATACACCCTCCAAAAATCTTTCAGGTGGTTATACGTGTCAAGCATACGCGGGTTGGCAGTCTTGGAGGGAAGAAAGTGCAAAAACGCAAAATCCCGGGAAAAAGTCGATTTTATGCGTATAGACATCAAACAATCACGAAATCCGTCAATCTGAACCATTTCTATTCCAATCACAAATTTTCAGCCGCCGGGCCCGCACATCCAGTGAATGGATGGTCAGCGTGCTGGTCTCGCACGTGGTAAGCCCGGGTCCGAATCTCAACGAAGGCTGCTGTTAAGTGGATGGCTTCATTGTCTATCGGCGCAGCGTGATGATGCCAACTTGATTCATGTCTAAGCGGAATGGATTCTAAATAGCGTTTTTTGATATCGGACAGCACCGTAGTTTCTAATGCTAGGGGGAGGGAGTCCACACCCAACAGAGATATTGAGGATCCCATGAAAGTTGACCGCAAATCTAAATAAGTGTGATACACCGAGTGGGCAGTGGAAATGACGCATACGACGGCGGAGGCATGTATAATTACGTTCGACAATTGCACGTGAAAATTTATCGGGACGTATTCGACTGCCGCTTAAAGACGAATGCACCAAGGCCAATAGGGACGGAACCTGAGCGGTCATGGGTGCCGCAGGAGACCAACACATTGGCTCCCGTCAACAAGTGTAGGGTCCTCAGAGCAAGCAAAAAAAAAACTCACGTGGTGGGCCAACGTGGTGGGCCCACGTGGCAGGGCCCTAAATGATCGGTAGTGCCCCGACAGGCTGACCTATGAAGCCCCAGTCATAGCACTGGACCCTCTGAGCAAAGGAGAATTATTCAAGACTATAAATTAATACCCCTGAGCAGTCAAGAGTGCACGGGCAGGTTAACAACACGAGTCTCGATAGGAGTGAAAAGTCAGTCGCAAATGAGACCAGAGGGAGAGAGCCCTTGATCAAAGAAGAGGGCCCCTGAGCATCGAGCGTCTCCGTGTCTTGCCTCATAAGACCCGTAGCAACGGCACAAGGCCCTTCAAGCAAGTAGAAAGTACCTGAGATGTATATGAAGGGCCCCTGGGCAACTGGGTGTACTCTGGCATATGCGGCCCCGAAAAAGTGTATGTAACCTTTCGGGTGAATGGGAGAATTCGTGGAGGAAAACCCGATTGATCAACAGTGCTCAAGCATGGAGGCAGATTGCGTCCCAACAGCACATTGTGCCCCACGAAAAAAGTGGGAAGAGATCAAGGGTAACGTGGAAAGCTCCTTAGTGATGCGATTGACGCAGTAAAGGGACATATAGGGACAGGCAGCCAACAGCGTAATGCCTCTAGACAGCGTAATGGTCCCCAACATTTCCCCCAAAGAAACAATCTCTCAATCAGCGAAGAATGAACTTCGTTTACTTATGAACTCTTCACTTTCGCTAGCAATGGTTCTTGGTCATCTGTAGGCCCAAATGCATCTAATTTTGTTGCGCTTTTGTTGTAAGAAAACTGCGTCCGTCCGGCTGGTTATGGGCCTCTTCGGAGTCTTTAGGTTCCTTCGGCATGGTCCATGGGACATGGTCCCGTCCCACCCTCTGCATCCGCCACCGGCCCGAGCAGCTGGATAAATGGGGCCCGCTAAGAACATAGGGTCATCCATTCAAATAGAAGACACCCAAGACCCAATGAAGAGGGCCCCGGATGATCGAGTGTGCCCGAGCAGGTCAACAAAAAGGACCCCCAACAAGAGCGTTAGGCCCTCCATTCCAATGGGAAGCACTGAATATCCTTAGTAAATGGCCCCCCAATTATGTAATGTGCCCGTGAAGCGTATCAGAAGGAGCCCGACAAGAGCGTAGGGCCCTCCATTCCAATAAAAAGTACTAAAAACCCATTGCGGAGGGCCCCCGAAAGATGGAGTATACCCGAGCAGATTACTGGGTGACCTAGACAGGAGTGGAGGGACCTAAATTCAAACACCCATACACAATATGTAGGGCCCCCGAACAATCCAATGTGGCCGAAGCGGCGAACGGATGGGGTCCCCGACCAGTGCGTAGGTCCCTTCATTCAGATAGGAAGTACCCAAGACACAATGTGGAGGGTTCCCGGATATCCGAGTGTGCCCGAGCAGGTTGGCAGATGGGGCTTCGGCCAGAGCGTAGAGCCTTCCGTTCAGATATGAATTACCCACGGTACGATGTGGAAGGCCCCGAATAACCGAGTGCGCCAAAGCGGGTTAACAGATAGGACCCCCGAAAAGAGCGAAGGGCACTCCACTAGAAAAGGAAGTGCCCAAAACCAGACGTAGAGGTCCCCCACGATCGAATGGGCCCGAGCATCTTATCAGATGGGAGCCCTGACAGGACCTTAAAGCCCTCCATTCAAATAAGAAGTATCTAAAACCCCATGCGGAAGGTCCTGAAAAATGGAGTGTACCAGATCAGGTTATCAGATGACCCCGATACGGGCAGAGGGCCCTAAATTCAAACACCGAGAACCAATGTGCAGAGCCCACCAGTAGTCCAGTATGGCCGAGGAAACGAACAGAGGGGGCCCCCGACATGTGCGTAGGGCTCCATTCAAATGGCATCAAAGTGCGTAAGGCCCAATATAGAGGGCCCCCAAACGGTCGAATGTGCCAGAGCAGGTTATCAGACAGCCCCCCCCCCCCCCCCACCACACACACACACAGAAGCGTAGGCTCCCATTCAGAAAAGAAATACCCAAAACCCGGTGTAGACGGTTCCCGAACGACTGAACTGAACGGCCCAAGCAGGCCATTAGATAACCCCCGACAAGAATGTAGGGCCCTAAGCAAGTGACAGAGAATTGGAAACGCCCTAGACCAATGTAGAGGACCCATGGGCATATCGCAAGTGTGTCGGTAGGTCAACCGATACTCACGTAAAGGGCCCCTAAGCAACCGAGGACACCCCGGCAGGTTAAGGTATGGGACTCTGGCCACCGCTCACAGAGCCTGTCAGGCGAATGGAAATAATCCGTGGAAGGGCCCGTGATTGACAAGAGTTCCCAGGCACGCTAACAGGAAGATCCCCAACAACAGTGCAGGACACCCTGAGCAAACGCAAAGAAATGAAGGACAACATGGAATGCTCCCAAACGACTGAAATGAGCCTACAAGGGGCATATAGGTCCCCCGGAAACAGCATGGGGCCCTAGACGGTGCAATGGGGCTTAAGATTTCCTGTTCACAACTTTTCCAGTTATTGAGTTATTTTGGAGACTTCTCATGGGCCCTTCACTTTCACTTACAGCTGCTCTCGGTAGCGTGAAAGTCCAAAGATATGCAGTTTTGCTGCGTTTTGTGTTTTAAAAAAACTGCACCTGTTCGGACGGCTATGGGCCTCCGGAGCCAGTGGGTCCCTTCGGGGTCCAACGGGGGAGGGGGGCATACCCCGTGGCCCCCCTCTCTGGATCCACTCCTGCTCGTTACCGTCCGTTTTGGGGAAAACTTTTGTTATTTTCCACTTTTTGTCCCTAGCCCGAACTCAGTTTGTCCTTGGTGTCGGACTGTCGTGGGGAGAAAGTGATTGATCCTAAACCTGAAGTGTCATTCAGGTGACCACGACGAAATCTCAATTGGGAGAACCGTAAATCCGATATGGGACTCGAAGAGCTGGCTAAAAGTCATTGAGGGGGCGCTGGTAGGACCCTCAAATACCAGCCAGAGCGCCCGACTGGGCCCCGGCCTGAGTCTGGGAGCCCATTTCCCAAGCAGTGACAAGGTCAGGACCCGCTATTTACAGTGCACCCCGAGCCAATGAGGGCCCCTGTGTCGGCCAGGGGCACACAGCGCCTAACCGGAGGTCCGGTGTTGACAAGGGCCCCCGAGTCGGTCAGAGAGTGTACGAGGGTGCCTGAAGAGGGACCGATGTGCCCTTCAAGACTGACGATAAACGGGCCGATGGGAAGGCTGAATGGCCGTAAGGGTCGAAAGGCTGCAGGCCATCCTGGCCCGTATGGCTGTGATCCCAAATGTCAGCAAATATGCCTATTTCACCGATTGTGGGCCCCAACACAACGGGCATCTATTTCGGCCGGACGCCACGACACCGAATAGTCGACTCCGTGTTGTTCTGAGTCCTGGGCCCCCATTTATCTAGCGGGAACGAGGCCGAGTTCCGCGATTTGCATTGGCCGGAGTCCTTACAACAATGAGTTGTCTTTTGCCGGTCAGGCCCCCAAAGTGTCCAACAGGGAGTCCTGTGACGAAAGGAGTCCCGAGTCGGGCAGAGGTGACCCGGGGCCCTTGCGGGGCCCTGCACCCCGTTTTAGCCAAGGGTCCGTTGGCCAAACATGGGTCTCTGTACCATTTATTGGATCACCTACGGTTATCAGAGCTCTTGTTGCCCCAATGAGGTCTCTTGCACCTACTTCGGGTCAAATGTCCCGGCTAGAAGCCGCCAAATGGCCTTCCGTACCAGGGAGGGTACCAATCTAGGATGTACATCTGTGAGGGCCTCCGGACGAACCCATCAGCGAACCCGCCTCCATGTCGCCGGAATGGCAGCTGGTAGACACCCCGGGCTGCGACGAAATGATCTTAAAACAATTGCCCGGAAAGGTCGTGTGCACATAGCTTTTCACTAATGTTTACACATTTTACACATTACGTTACCCATAATGTTTACACATTACACATATTCAATTAATGTTCACACAAGTTGCTGACCTCATTCAGATTTACGGTCGACCTTCACGGGATCCTCAATATCTCGGTGGGGTGTGGACTCCCTCCCTCTGGAAGGACGGAGTCCTCTTTATCTCTAGTTCTCCCTCTGGCA